CTCTCTGTTTCCTGCAGATTGCCAGGGAGCACGGTATTAGGTTTTTTGAAACTAGTGCAAAAGCAAATATAAACATTGAGAAGGCATTCCTCACATTAGCAGAAGACATTCTTCGAAAGGTAGGTGCTCACAGCATTCCTTTGGAACAAATGTCCTGAAATTCCAGCTAGGTGCTCACAGCATTCCTTTGGAACAAATGTCCTGAAATTCCAGCTAGGTGCTCACAGCATTCCTTTGGAACAAATGTCCTGAAATTCCAGCTCTCACTGTCACGATGTTCCCCTGCCTTGGTGCAGTTCGATCTTGCTGTGCTGAGGCAAAGGAGTCCCTGAAGGAGCAGGGCTGAACTTCTGAAGCTTGTTTGGTGTTTTGTTGTTGTAGGGTGCTTGCAGGGAGGGACATCCATCCGAGCCACGGAACTGAAATCCCTGTTAGTTTGGCCCTTATTGTGCCTGGAGAGCCTGCCCCACTCTCCCCTTTCTGGTTCCCTTTTCTCCCTCATTTCTCTCTTTGGGTCCTGCCCCCTGATTTCCTCCCCAGTCCCTTTGTCCCCTGGCTCATCCCTCACATTGTGCAGTGGCAAAACGGGGAGGAGAAAACCATTAACCAGTGCTAGGAAGTCATTAGGAGGCTGGGGTTAATTAACAGCTCGTTCCTCTGCGTTTCCATTGGCGTGGGGAGAATTGTCCTTTGCTGCCACTGTCTGTCAGTGCACTGGCAGCTCCTGAGGGGCTGTTGGGCAGAGTTCAGGTGTGGAGGGTGGGAGCTCGGCCTCTCCCAGCTGTGCTCCCAGGATTCAGCTCCCAGGAATGGCATTTCCCTGGGGGTTCTGTTGCCCAGATCACCTGGTGGTGGCTCCCCTTCCTGAGCGATACCACGGAACCACAGAATCAGCGAGGCTGGAAAAGCTCTCTGAGAGCACCAAATCAAATCATCCCCACCACTGATCCATGTCCCCAAGTGCCACATCCACAGGGCTTTCAAATCCCTCCAGGGATGGCAGCTGTGCCAGAGCTGGGCAACCTTTCCAGCAAGAAATTGTTCCCTGTATCCAATCTGAACCCTCCTGGCCCAGCCTGAGCCCATTTCCCCTTGTCCCATCCCTGTCCCCTGGCTGTCCCCTCCTGGCAGGAGCTGTGAGAGCCACAAGATCCCCCCTGAGCCTCCTTTTCTCCAGGCTGAGCCCCTTCCCAGCTCCCCCAGCCCCTCCTGGGAGCAGCTCGTGGAGCTCTGTGGAGCTCCAGTCCCACGGGTTGGCCAGCCCTGGCCCTCCTGTTCCTGTTCCTACACAAACCAACCCCGTCCTGAGCCTGTCTCAGCCCTGCCTTCCTCCCTCTCCCGAGGGAATGCTGTGGATAATGTCCCCCAGTTGTCACTGCAGTCCTCAGTCATTCCTTAATCCGTTTTTGACAAGCTTTGTGTGATAAACAGGGTGAAAGTCCCTGGCCTTTGGTGAACAGGAGCTCAAGCTATAAACCATACCAGCCTTTGGGCCTTAAATCTTCTTTTTTAACCTCTGTCATTATCTCAGGGGTTCTTTTGCAAGGCTGTGACAAAGAGAGTTTAAAAAGGAATGTGGAGAGTGAAGTGTGGTGAGGGTTCAGGTTCCTTTCCAGGCAGCTGGAAGTGGATGCTGGTGTTGGATCAGACCCACTGGAGTGGGGTTTTGGCTTTGGTGTCACCAAGCTCCGTCCTGGGCGTCCTTCCTCGGGAGCCGCTGTCCCAGCAGCAGGGAGCAGAGGCTGGGAACAAGCCCAGTTTATCCATAAAAACTGTGGGTTTTGGAGGTCATTAGTTCACATCATCCGAGTTCAGCTCGTGGTGTTTGCAGGCTGGGATTCTCTTACTCCACCAAACCCAGCGCTGGCTCTGCGTGCAGAGCCTAAAATAGTTCCAGTTGACTTTGGGGTGATCCCAGTTCAAGCAACTGGGTTTTTTTCCCCAGCTTTGCTGCTGTTTATTTAAAACAAACCAAACAACAACAACAACAAAAAAACCCTTAAATTGGATTTGCACATTTGTGCTGGAGTGGGGGGAGGATTCCCCGCATTTCTGAGGAGCTCTTTGTGCGCGGTTCCCTCTGGTGATGTCAGTCCCCAGCTCTGGGTGTTTTCCTGGGGATCTCCAGAGCCATCTAACTGTGTGCACTTGTTTCCTTGCAGACCCCTGTAAAAGAGCCCAACAGTGAAAATGTAGATATCAGCAGTGGCGGTGGGGTGACGGGCTGGAAGAGCAAGTGCTGCTGAACCTTCTCCTCTCTCACCAATCGCCATCCACCGCCCCTTTTTTCTCGCTGCAAAACAAACCACTCTGCCCGTTTTTTAACCTGAAACCAATGTTTTTGTTCCTCATCTTAACGAGCTCCTGCCTCCCCTTGGTTTTCCGGCTAGGACAGCTTTGCCTACTCCACTTTTCTCAACACATGTATAGGAAATTCATCTCCGTGACTTCATTTCCATGTCCCTGCTCAACTCACCACTACGTTTGGGTTGTATTATAGTCCCGTCCCTCCTGCCATTAAACCCCAGAGCAATCATACTCAACTCTCTTCTGCAAATTGTATAAGAATAAAAGTTAGAATTAACAATTGATTTTGTACAACAGTGGAATTTTCTGTCATGGATCATGTGCTTGAGTCACCATATTCTCTAGACGCATCAGGCAAGAGCCAAGAAAAACTCCTTTTCGCCTTGAGTCCGTGAGTGGGGTTTCTTTGTCCTGTGCCTTATGTGGAAAAAGGAACTTTTATTTTCACTTTCTTTTCTCTTTTCTGGTGGAAGCATGTGCAGGAGACATCCCATGCCCCCGTGCCATTGAGTCCCACCTCTGTAGTGGTTGCTTTCTGTAACGTTGGTGTCATGCATCGAGGACAAAGGGTGGTGCAAAAACAAAAGCAAACTCATGTAACCCGCTGTGTCTCCTCTTGCCAATCCCGCCCTTCCCAACTCTTCCTGCTGCCATTTTTTTTCCTCACTTTGCCGCTCTTTCTTTTTTTTTTTTGGTTCTTTTCTTTTCTTTTCTTTTCTTTTGCCTGCATGCTGCTTTGATTTGCATTTCTCCATGGTGTGATGTGTTAATGGAAAGGATGGCAACGCGGTGTGTTTGCCAAAAATTTTAATACAAAGCACTGATTTAGCTTCCGAGGTAAAAATGTTGAGATTCCTACTAACCCCCCTAGGCCTGTCCGTCACTAGTGGTCCCCTCCTCCCGCGTAGCCCCGGCCTTTCCCCCCATCTGGAAGAGTTATTTGCATGCACTAGTTTCTATGGAGGGTGATGTGGTTGTCTACTTTGTGTATGAGTATAACGTGGATTCCCAAACTGACAGTTCACCAACACGAGCCCCAGCTCCTGTCCCCGCCGAGGGCTGCGGGGCCGGGCCACGGCTGAGCGGAACGGGGTGGAAAAAGGAAAGGAAAGGAACCGGCCAGCGGGCAGTTTAATTTATTACTTCCCTGGAAACTTTCCACCTGCCAGTGTCCGCAGCCGCGCTGGGCCAGCCCTGCTCCGGATCCCGGCGGGAGATCCCTGCCCCACTCATCCCGGGATGGAGCAAATCCCTGCCGGGCTCATCCCGGGATGGAGCGGTGATCCCTGCCCTGCTCATCCCGGGATGGAGCGGGGGATCCCTGCCGGGCTCATCCCGGGATGGAGCGGTGATCCCTGCCGGGCTCATCCCGGGATGGAGCGGTGATCCCTGC